CTTTAAAAAACTCTCAATATGATATAAATCTCTAGAGAGGGGGGTTAATTTTAGCTCCTAAATCTGTTGTCCTAAATCACCTTTGGAACTATGAGCCTAGAAAACTTGGATGCTGCAAAGGTAAACAATGTGCAGATTAAGATAGAGTGGAATTGACAAGCTGGTTAAAAAAGGATGATGCATTTCTAATTAGCTCACAGTGCCTTTAGTTGGAAATTAATTAGATGCTGTTATGTAAATGTCATGTTAATTAAACAAGGATATTAAAGTGTTATAAATCTGCAAAAGGAATGGCTATTTTGTGTATTAATGCTTTGCAGTTAACATGAAGGCTCCGATAGAATATTTGTTTGGTTATTGAGCTTCTTATAATTTTTAGTTGGCTGACTCCTTGACAGTCCATTTGTCCCAATTGATGTGTTTTAGCACATGGTGTAACTGCAGCCAATGAGGGCAATAGAACCTAGAACTGAAAACAAAGAGTCATCACAGCTGTTTTAACAAAAGCTTTCTGGGTAGATTGCTGATCTCTATTTCCAAGGTTAAGGAGAAATACTATTTTTCTGTATTTATCCAGCCTTAAATTTTGAGGGCCTAAAATGATTGCCAGCCTAAATGCAGCTGTCCTCCAAACCTGTGTTCTCTGCTTTTCCTGAATTATAGTCTTCAACCAGTTTATGGGTGCTAGCTCGGGTTTTTTTTGGCATGTTCAGTAACTCTACAGTTTAAAAAGAAAATTTAAGCATTCTGCTACTTTAGCTTGAAATGTCAGTGTTGATGGTTAATGTGATACCTTTATTCAGTCCTGGTTTTATAAGTTACAGTGAATTTAATATCTAGACTTCAGTTTTACAGGCCTGAAATCAGTACTATTTCCCTAAGAAAATCCACTATCCTGTTGCAAATGCTATTAAGATTTCTAGTTGTTGGGAATAAAGCTGAAGAATTTCATTTCATGGTTCTCATGTGGAATTGCAAATGCAATCCATAGTGCTGCATTATGTATGATGCCTTTAATATTATATAAGACTAGAAACATCCCTAGAAGACAAGGTAGGAAGGATACTTAGACTTATGGTCACAAACCACAGCTACCACAGACTCTAAATTGTTGAAACTTAGGAAAAAGTCCTCTGTAGTATCAAATGCAAAATGATATACTGAATAGCTTTAGATAATGAAGAAACTTGAAAAAATTCTGATGATTAATTTGTTTTTGCAAAAGAGAGTAAAATGCAGTCATGGTTGAAAGTGAGTTCATGTTGGTTAATCTTGTTACCTGGCCGGAGAGAGCCTGTCAGATTAAGGAAGAAACTTAACTGCTTTTTTATTTTTTTAACGTTTAAAAATCCAAAACTTATTCAAAACTCAGTTGCCACTAATATAGACTCAAAGGTAGTGATAGGAATCGTTCTGTGCTTAGAAATACATTTATTTTCCCAATCTGATCCCACCACACACACACACACACACACACACACACACACACACACACACCCCCTCCAATGGAACCCAGTCATCAGGACACTTTTCACACCTTGCTCGTAAGTTATTAGCTCAGTTCACCCTACTGGGAAGGAGAGGAAGAGCCAAAAACAGAGTTTACAATGATTTGTGGGACCATATGCCAGCCCTTCTCTCAGACGTTAATCCAGTAAAAAAAGGACAGCAGCATTTCTTGATGGAGGAGATGCCCTGACTTGGACCCTTGCCATCAACTTTCAAAATTATCAATATTTTGTTTGCTATAGCCACATGGGACTCAAGTTAATATTTTTATTGTAGTCAGAAACCTGAAAAGGTTCCTCTTGAGTAGCCCATAATTTCCTACATTCATTTTAACAGAGTTGATTTGAAACTAATTGTGTAGGAGTATATAATACATCAGAACTCCTGTGGCTTCTTGTTTTATTCGAGAGTACACTAATTTTGTATGACTCCACAGTTATTGTAGTCTATATGTACAGTGTTCCTATGCATCTATTCTGGATTTTTAAAGTTTCATAGGTTATAGTCTGTCAGACCAAAGTGAATTCCACACTCTCTGTTTATAATATTGTGCAATTATCAAAGCTGGGATTTATTATCACTGCTAGTTACTCTTGCTGTCAATTTGTTTGGGCTCAGCTCTGGTTCTATTTGTGTTTACTGTAATTTGGTGACTATATTGGATTGGGTTGTTAGTTTAATAAGCTCTCTGGAGAGCAGTTTCATGGTGATGCATGTGGAGTTATGTATGCTAGGCAGCCTGAAAGTTTTTTGCACACTTGCCAAAGCTGCATAGGAATTCATTCATTAGGAGTTTTAGTAAGGATAACTGTCACCCTACAGATGAGGTGAAGTTTGCATTTGTAAACATGGGAGTGTTAATTCACAAGTCCCAGCCAACTACCACAGAGGCTACAGATCAGACCCTGCTTCTCTGTCCCGGCCTCTCTCCAGGCCTGATCCACAGCCCCCTCGGCAGTCGCCACGGCAATCAAGCACTGACTGCAGAACTGACTTCTGGTTGGTTGAGCCTTCTGTCATTACCGACCCTGGGTTTTTATATATTAGGATATTTAAACTCTTCAGTGTGTACATTTAAGATTTGTACATTTCATTTTAGTATTTTGTTATTGTTATACCTCAATTTTTTAAAAAGATTTTAAAAGCCTTGGCCAGTGCAGCTTAGTTGGTTGCCATTTGGATTCCTGGTCAGGATACAGGCTTGTTTGCTGATAGGGGGTGTATAGAAGGCAGCCAGTTGATGTTCTCCTTTTACATTGATGTTTTTCTCTCTCTCTCCCCCCCCCTTCTAAAAATCAATAAAAATATTTTAAAAGATTTTAATAAATGTACATTAGTCTCTTGATTCAGTCAAGCAGCTTGCACTTTTTAAAAAAATATATATATATTTTATTGATTTTTCACAGAGATGAAGAGAGAGGGATAGAGAGTTAGAAATATCGATGAGAGAGAATCATTGATCAGCTGCCTCTTGCACACCCCCTACTGGGGATGCGCCCTCAACCAAGGTACATGCCCTTGACCGGAATCGAACCCGGGACCTTTCAGTCCCCAGGCCGACGCTCTATCCACTGAGCCAAACCAGTCCAGCTTGCACTGTTTTTTGTTTGTTTTTTATTCTCACCCAAGGATATGTTAATCAATTTTTAGAGAGAGGGAGAAAAGGGAAGGGGAGAGAGGAAGGAAAGGAGAGAGAAAAACATTGATGTGAGAGAGAAATGTTGATGGGTTGCCTCCTGTACACGCCCAACTGGAGATCAAACCCCAAATTCAGGTATGTGTCCTGAACAGGAATCAAACCTGCAACCACTGGTGTATGGGATGATGCTCCAACCAACTTAGTCATCCAGCCAGGGCTCCATGTTACTTTTTTCATGTCACAGTTGCCTATTTGAATCTATGTAACTTTAGTATGTTAAGCTTTCTCTGGGGAAATGATATTTGTAGAAAAATGCCCTGCTTTTTTGGTCTAACTTCATTTTATTCTTGCCTCATTTTGAAATTCTTCAAAAGTATTTCCAAGTGATACTGGCCAATGATGAATATCCCTCTTTCTGATTACATTTAGCCTTCATTACTAGTTCCATATTCTTTGACACTTGATCACTTTTGATCCAGCTCTTTATTGCTATCATGTATTGTTCTCAATTATTTACACTAATTTAGTCCTCCTAATAAGATTGTAAGTTCCCTGAGCATGAGACTTACCCATGATGGCACATAGTAGGTATTTGCAAAGTGTTCTTTGACAATAATACACTTACTTAATTTTTTCTCCCCTTTTACATTTTCCTTATGTGTTTTCTTATACCCACTAAGGTTTGCCAAACTGATGTTACATCCTTGGTGTAGGAAAGAGTGGACTAACAATGAACTCTTAGGCATGATTTATAGGTCCCTAAATCCCATGGATCTTCATGGCATAAACTCTAAGAATAGGTCTCAGAGCTTTTTCATCTTTCTTTCATTTCGATTAATAATTTCAGTGATATGAAATCTTCTGGATAATATACAACTCTGTCAGTTAACCATGTTTACCTTTACTATTCATAGTCACCTGGGACCCTTTTCAGAAAATATGTCTAACATTTGCCTGTGTGTTCTATTTCTTGATGATCATTACCACAGCCCTTTCCAGGGCATATCAAGAACCAGTGGTCTTTATGTTTATTTATTAATTTCTAATTTCAGAAGTTAGGGCATGGTTGGTAGGGAGTGTTGAGGTATATGTCAATATCAACTTAAGAACTTGTTAGTAGTCCTGATTCTGAACCAACTTCAGAATTTGTTGGTGGTCTTGAAATTATTGCTTTTCAATCCTTCACCCACTGACTGACTAAATCTTTTGCTTACTCTTGAATTATCCCTATTCATCAGATTTCTGGATCCTCAAAGATTCCATGAATGCCCTCTTTATATCGTTCTTATAATTAAGCTAGATATTTCTTTCTTGGTTCCAATATCTTTTTATATATTAAAATGATCTTTATTTATTTTGACAAGTAGTTTGTTGTTCCTTAGGCAGCTCCCGTCCCCCCACCCCCAAATAAATAAATAAATAAATAAATAAATAAATAAATAATAAATAAGGCCAGTTTTGCAATGAATTCAAAGGTAGGATAACAACTGAGATCAGCCTACGAGGTTGTACTCCTACTTGTTGCTTTGTAGAAAAACTCATCTCCCCAAACTTGTGGGTAATTTCTTCTTGCTGGATTGGGATTCTATAGTTAAAATTTTAACCCTTAACTTTTTAACATTATGTGATATTCAATTAGTTTTTTACAAAAAGCATGTTCTAATGTAGAAAAAATATAGATCTAAATTGCTGAACTAAGTTCATCTACCACTATCACCACCTTTTCCATCTTTTCTATTATGTTTATTTGCAGGTTAATCTCTGCCTTTTTAGGTTTCTCTTTATCCAAGATAGCATCTATGGGCATGTAGCCGGTATGTCCTGACTGATGTGCCTGCCTTTCTGTTTTTAGGTGGGCCATGCACAGACACAGCTCATGTCTCGTTAGTCACACCAACCAAAAGATCCTGTGGTACAGGTACGTATATCATTCTTGTTGTTTTTTAAAAAATCCTCATCCGAGGGTATTTTTCCATTGATTTTTAGAGAGTGTAAGAGAGAGGGAAAGATAGAGGAAAACATTGATGTGAGAGAAACGCATTGATTGGTGTGGAAGCTGGGCCAAGAGGAGCCTGCGACCAAGGTGCGTGCCCTTGACCAGAATCTGACCCAGGATCCTTTGGTTCATAGGCTGACACTCTATCCACTGTGCCAAACCAGCTAGGGCCATACATCATTCTTATCTGGCTTCATTCTTATCTGAATTATTCATAGAAATTAGCTACTGGTTTTAATGTGGTGTCCATGCCAGGATGCTCTCTAATTTCTCCCATCAATTTTGAAGTGATATAGTTTGTGCTTAATATTGGGAGTGGAGTGTGAGCAGAGGTCAAAGTGGTGCTCTTGGAGGTCAAATTGACTGATTTAAACTTTTGGCTAGAACCAAGAAGATAGGCAGTTTCCTAATGTCTGAAGAATATTATAACATGAAACATATATTGCCCATTTTCTAGAATGTGGCTAATTTGTCTGAGTCTTGGACTTACTACAAAAAATATTTAACAATGGAGACTGGAAGGTGAAAGAAGTTGTAGTACAGATAATCAGTGTTTTAACTTGACTATTAGAATATCCTAATAGTTTTGGAAAATTACTTTCTCATCTTCAGTGCATTGGGTATGTTGAAATTATTCTTTTCAGATACATAAAGTCTCCCAGAAATCTCTGTGCATCTATGACATTTTTATTAAATATGAAGTCATGAATCTTGTAGCTCTCTAAAAAGCAGTCATAATGACCATTGCTCCCTTAGCCTATAGCTCAATTTATTTTAAACAGTAAATTTGCCTTTTCCAATAATGCTGCCTGTTATTTAAAATATCTCAAGGATTATATTTGGAAGAGTCAAAATAATTATATTGTTTTTCTAAAGGTCACAGTCAAAGTATTTTTCATAATTTAAAAAGTCCTTTTAACTTTTCAATAAAAATAGCCCAAACTATTTCTATGTACAAACTCATTCTGAAACCTCAGCCCTTTCAAATGCTCATAGTTTTTATGTTAAACTAACTCAAAGAGGCCTGACCTTGCACAGTTCCTGAGTGGCATCTAGGCATTGAACTCTGGGAATTTAATTTTACTCTTCTGTTCCACATGACCAATTTTGAGGCAGGGCATGCTGTCATCCCTCCTGTCTTTAGTACCCGAGCTCGAGGGAGATAGAAGAGAACCTTGCCCTGGAGTGAGACAGACCATCCTGATTAGCCAGTGGGAAGTCAGAGTCAGCTTCCTATCCACTCCAGCCAGAAGTTTTGAAAACATTCAGAGTCCTTTGATTTCAGGTCTTTTAGTCTTTCTTCTTTCCTTCCAATCTTGGCCCTCAGTGCAGGGTTACCTGTTAGCACTACCAATATGTTTAGGTAGCAGTCAAGGAGTGAACCTCATGCACACTGGAACATCCTGAGAGAGAGAGAAAAAGAGACTCGTGTGCTCAGCTTAGGCACCGAAACTAGTAGGAATCCTTCTTTGAATATTGTGTACTTGTGTCCTTCATATCTAGACATGTATTTTCTTCTCCCATACTATTTTGTGTATCTGAAAATAACAATAGCATTTATTGCATGCTAACTATATTACCAGGCACCATTCAATATGGTTTACATACATGACCATTTAATCTTCAGAACATATCTGCAAGAGAGTTATTCCTCTTTTACAGATGGCAAAATAGATACTCAGAAAATTAAGTACATTTCTTGTAGTAATATTTTAGTAAGAAATAGAAACAGAACTTAAACACAGATCTTTCAGATACTAAAGCCTGTGTTGTTTTGCACTACATCATGTTACTGCTTATCACATCTATACTAATAAAAAGGTAATACTCTAATTAGACTAGATAGACTGGATGTCCTTCTGGACAAAGCCACAGTGGTGGGGCTGAGGCAGAGGCAGTTACGGGTGCAGGCAGGTGAGCGGTTGGGAGCCAGCAGTCTCGGATTGCAAGATGGATACCCGACTGCAGGTTGGGATCAGGCCTAAACCAGCAGTTATCCCAGTGCACAAATTTCATGTACTGAGCCTCTAGTTGTATTATAATTATGCTCTTAGCCAGATGGTGGAAAAGCATATCATTGAATGAAATAGGAAGAATGGGAGACACATAATTGGAAATACAGCATGTAATGAAGTAGTGCTTAAAATGTGAGTTTTAAAAGCAGATTTGGTTTCAGATCCTAGCTTTATGTATTACAAAATGTGATTTTAGGTAAATAAGTTAATATCTCAAAATTTGTTCTTTATCTGTAAAATTGGATGATAAATCTATCGCATAGGTTTGGTCTAAGAAATAATATGCATAAAGCTCACATAATAGATCTCTAAAGGTAATTGCTATTTCAGTGTAATTGTATCATTAAAGATTATGTGTATACAGTGGCCAACCATTAAATACTGTGGATAACACATCAGAAGGTAATTTAGATAGAAGACTAGAAATGCAGAATTTGTTGCAATATCTAGTTTCATTAATTGATTTTATGTTGATTACATTTTTTTGTTGCATTTTAGTATTACAGTAGGAACTCATGGTAATATTTTTAGGTCTCTGTAAAGTGAAATGATAAGCAAGGATTGAGCTCTCAGTCACACATTTCCAGGCCTTTTAGGTGATTACATAGCTCTTAACTAGGAAAAGATTGAGAATTTCTGACTTGGAAGGAAATTAATGCAATGTGCAGGTCATCTTCTAAAAAATCCGAAGGAAAGTTGAGATTGCTCACCCTGCACATTAAAAGTTATCAAGTTCATCTTGGTGTACTTTTCAAGAAGCCTCTCTGTGCCCCCTCTGACTTCCTGAACTATGGCCCTGACATCTGACTTGTATAGGTCATTGGTTGAACATTGATCTATTAACCAGGAGGTCACAGTTTGATTCCCAGGCAGGATGTGTGCCCTGGTTGCGGGCTCGATCCTCAGGGTGGAGCGTGCAGGAGGCAGCCAACCAATGATTCTCTCTCATCTTTGACATTTCTATCTCTCTCGCTCTCTCTTTCTCTCTGAAATAAAAAAATATATATTTAAAAAACAAAAAACTATGGCCCTGACATCAGAGAACAGAGTTTCCTGATTGTCAGAGGTAAATTGAATGATTTGTTTTGAGAACTGCAGGTTGACAGTCTTTGTCTCCATCTTTGTCTGTCCTTGAGTCAGCAGGCTGCCCATGATGGGGATTCTGAACATTTTTCTTATGAGTCTTTATCAGTTATAGTGTTACATTGCTGGAGTGTTCTTGTATTCCTTATGTCTAGGTTCTTCAAGAGAGGACTCATCCTCTAGCATGCTCTGAGGTGCTTCTGCCATAAAGGGGCACAATCACAGTAGCTCTCCCAAAGAGATCCTAGAGCACAGGGCTTCAGGCATAAATGATCTGTAAATAATTGCCTGACAGTAGTATCACTTTTTTCCTTGGAGTGAGACCTGTGAATTGGGTCTTACTGAACCCTCCAAACCAATCTGTTCAATACAAGGTTGGACCTAAAGCAGCCTCTAGCATAGTAATGACATGTGTTAGGAAAAAGATACTTAGGCTGAAATATAGTGGTTCTTTAGGTCAACAGTCCCTGAAGAAGGCATATCTATATATATAAAAGCCTAAGTGACTGGTCGACTGGTTTGACTGGTGGCTATGATGCACACTGACCACCAATGCAGGGACATACGCTCAATGCAGGTGCTGCCCCCTGGTGGTCAGTGCGCTCCCACCGTGGGAGCACCGCTAAGCTGACAGATGAGCACTAGACGCAGGGCTCTCTGCTGGCTGCCACAGCCCAGAGAATTCAGCGGAGGGGCAGCGAGCCTACCTAGAAGCAGCAGACATAGTGGGGCTGGGATGAGCAGGAGCCGCAGGCAGGAGTGACAGGCGGCACTGGACTGCTGGTTTTGGCCAATCCCCACAGGCTACACCAAGGGACCCCACTGTTGCATGAATCCATGCACTGGACCTCTAGTAATGTATAATCTGTGAGGTTTGGGAGAAAATAGTAAAAGTTCTTTATCTCTGCCTTGTAAATTTTCTGTTTTGCAGATTCATTTTATAACTATATAACACTCCATACATATAGTTTAAAACCAGCAAATACATAGGATGCGTATTAAAGGTACATAGCCAAATATCTTAGAGAGTGTACTCGCAAAAAAAAGGTTAGTGACCTTTTCAGTGCACAGGTCATTTTCTTTTTAGTACTTTGAAAATTAGATCTAAAGATTAGCATTAGGCTCATAATTACAAGCCTGAGTGGTTGATTAATAACGTCTCTGCTTCAGGGGACTAATGTTGATCTGAGGATATTGTAATTTAAACAGGTGGAAAGCAATATAGAGTGGCTTGTCTACAGCCATCAAAGTGAGAGGGGGAACTCTTTTTTTTTTTTTTTAACTTAATTTTACTATTGACACTATATATATCTCCATTCATTCCCAGTCTCTTCCCCCCACCCCCACCCCCCCACCCCCCCACACACACCCTGTCCAGCCCCTGTTTCGCCTTCCCTCTGGCCATCATCTTAGTAGTGTCTGTGTCTGTAGGTTATACATATATGTTCTTTGGCTAATCCCTTCACCTTTTTTCACCCAATTCCCCAAGAGAGAACTCTTTTTAAGAAATAGCTCTGTGGTAACTGGAAGTCTAAGAACCAGGTTGCAAAAAGTAGTAGTGGCAAGTAAAAGATCAGTTTGTATTTGCGAACTAGGTCAGAAACTTTTTCTTTAGCTGCTGGCTTTTGGCTACATAGCACTATTAACAGTTAGACTCTGTAATCTTTAGATTGGGGGGGGGGGGGCAGCACCATGATTATTTTGGTATTTAAAACAGAAAATTTAAGTGAAGGTGCTTATGGCTTTGTAGTGCTCTGAGAACTGTCAGCAAAGAGTTGAAAAGTGCTGCAAATCCCAGGTTGCTTTGGTTAGAATGTGAGAGTT